GCACAATGACACTGTCCTTTTATTTCTCCATCTATCAGCTGAAATGTCTTCATTTAATACTACTATACAGCTTGAATAAGCCCTTTAGATCACCTGGTCCAAAGTCCTTATGTTAATGCTGAAGGAATTTGCCTAAAATCATATATAATGAAGCAATGAGTCTTACTAATAGAGGCAAAATTAAAAGGAAATCTACCCTCCCTTCACTATGTCTAATCAGCTTCCATCCCCATTCTCTTCTGAGCACCTACTCCCCTCCATTTCAACTTTCTCCATCGCTTCTACTGGACCATTTTACTTTACATTCATCAGAGAAAATTCCCTGTCTTGGAACTCTGGGCCCAGCCTATCTTTCTTGTTCCCCAGCTACCCTCTACCCAGCAAATCCTGTAGTCTATTCAATACAGCCACAATGAACTTCTTGCCATTCACATTTCCCATTACCTGAGAGCCGCATGAGTCTTTCCTTGTTAGGATCCATTTCCTCTAAGACTGTCAGGATCCCATGAATCCTTCAAGATCCAGTCACCTCCTCTGAGACACCTTTATTGATTCCCCCTGGAGAGCTCATCAATTCCACTTCTGCCCTTCCTCCCTAGTCTGTTCATGATAGTGTATCCCAGTCTTCTCCACTCTTGATATATCTGCTTTGTCTTCCAGATCTTAGATGTATAACTGTTAATATTACATCTTATTTTATTTACTTACTACAGTGTCCTCACTTAGCACAGTGTCTAATGGCAGATTGTGGACACACACTAATTGTTTAAGAATGAATGCCCCTGGAATCCCTTAGCCCCTAGACTTGGCTGGGCACTGAACATTGGACACCCCCTACTTGTTTCCAGAATCTTGCATAGGGATTGTTTAACATGGCCATTGCAATCATTGGCCTAATACACCCACTTAATATAGTCTCTGCTGAGATCCCAATCAAGAATCGTTGATTGAGGATTATCATATGGATAGCCAAGAATCGGAGCTGCAAGACAGATGCATTATTGTGTATAAATAGATGTTTGTGGAATGCTTACAACTAAAATATGTGCCACAGCAGATTAATCCTTCTATCAAGTATCCCTCCTCTTTGGAATTGAATACACAGGCATCCGAGACTACTTAAATCCTCTCTGTGTCCTTTTCATGAGCTCCATTCTTGCCCTTACCAGGTGATAATATTAATAGAAATAAATGATGCTATTATTTAACTCCAGATTCTGCTCTACAGTGCATTCTTCCTAATGTTGGCTGCTATTGCTGCAGTGGTGATGCTATCCGCCCTTATCAGCATTTGTGTTTCTGTTAGTTCCTACCCTCAGCACAATTATGCTATATGAGACAAGTCTCCCAGTAAAGCGGAGAAATCCCGCAGCTCCTGTTATTTGTTCCATTTCATACATTCATGTCTGTTTGGTTTGTTTCCCCACCCACTAGAGACTGTCACTGGGATTTCCAAGTTATATTACGTTCCAGGCATTTACTTCTCAGGGTAACATACGTTGCTGGCCTTTTATCCTTAGCTCCCAACTCCATCCACATGACTAGGGCTGTGTTATAAATTACTACCAGACATGAATGTGATATGCTGTATTCTCAATTATTTGATGCACAATTGGAGTGTTAATACACTGGAATGGAATGAGCACTACTAATCATTCTAAATTCCATGATAAATTATATTTTGCCATATTCATAATTTGCTAAATGGCCACACTGAAGCATCACCCTGTCAGTGACTTGCCATCGGTCTTGCTGACCATTTCGGCTCTATTTTTGAATGAAATACAATGTCCAGTCATGTCTACTGGCCAATACCCACAAGTCCACCAATTCAATCTCTGTATAATCTTAAAAGCCTAAAGTTTTACTAAATAATCCTTTGCATTGCTGTTTATGGCATGGTGATAAGATAATGATCCTGTGTGAAAAGAATCATCTTTAATAAAACAGATATAGAACTTTCCTTCCCACTGATCAAGCAGAAAACTCTTGTCAATATTTTTAATTTATCTGGCCTATGAACTCTGGGTGATTCACATCCCTTGTCTCCAGACCTGGAATTTGATAGATGTATGTATGTATGTATGGATGGATGGATGGATGGATGGATGGATGGATGGATGGATGGATAAATGGTAGGTAGATAAGATAGATACTTAGGTAGAAAGTTAGATTCTGTAGTATTCTTAATCAATAGTATTCTTCTTCCTGAGCTGAATTAAAAAGAAATACTATAAACTTCAAATAATGTTTATACCTATAAATGTTATAAATTACCCCCAGAAAATAAACATGAACACGATTTGCTGTGTTCTTAATAATTTGATGCACAATTTGAGTGTTAATAGATGGGAATAAACATCAGGTCACAAAGAAATTCATGTGTTCATTGTAAATCTTGAAGATGAAACTATAACTGGGTTACAAAGGTTTGAAAAGGAGTGAATGAAAAGGAAAAAGTTGTCAGTTTACATAATTGTAGTTAAAGAAATTTATAGAGAGAGGCTGTGTAGCCCTGGGTTTTAATCAGTGTGGTTAAAAATATATAACAAGTGCTTCTGTTCATAATTTTGTGACATTCACACTGCACGCATTTCCATGGCAATGGGCCAGATGCATTTAATGCAATTCAAGGATGACAAGGAAGATGGATGGTCTCTAATGAGCAATTGATTACCAGTAAGCAGAGAGAGATTAAGAATCCAATTTCCACTCCCTTCTCATCTGCAGGGCCATTTCCATTTGCTGTGGTTCTTCAAGCTTATTAATGAAGGAAGGGGTAAGAAAGAAAAACAATTTTTTGGATTTTATTATTTGAAGATAATGAATCTCAAATTGCGAGGATAGACATAATTCTTGGTTAAAAAAAAATAAGTGTGCAAAAATAACCTTCAGTCTCTAGCAGTTCTCTCAAACTAGGAGTGAACTCCTAATTTGGTCTTAAGTTACTAAAATGATTGGAGGAAAACGGATTAAAAATGTTTTGTACTATATTATTATCTGAAAGTCTATTATGCAAAAGTGTGTTCCAGTTTCAATTTTAAAAACTACTAGTTTGTTTTCAGCAACTGTAATTTAAGATCCCACGGCATGACACATGAGGATACACAGGAAGCTTTGGGAGGATATTGTTGGTCTGATGACTTCATTCACTAGGGCTGCTGGGCCCAGATTTCCACTGTGTGAAGTTATAATAACATGGTGGCCACAATGCAGTTCATCACAGCTGGGATCTCATAAAATGGAATACAATAAGGATCTGAAAATGTACTAGAGAGAAGATCATGGGGTTTATCTTTTAAATATTCTTCACCTTAGTTGGATTTTTATACAGCAAAATAAAATGACACTGACATTGTGTATATTGAAAAGTATACTGGCATGGCGTGGGTAGTACTGGTTATGATCAAGTAACATCTTGCCTGGCTTCCTGGAGTCTATTGAGGTCCTGTTTGCACACAGCGTGTTAAAGCCATATGAGGTCTACATTATGTCCGACCACCTATCTGTCAAACTTCACCATAAGTAAAAATGTTTGTTGTGTTGCTGTCATAAGCCAGACGATGTGTTTGTTGCAGCTACAAAGATGGTAGCTATAGTAGAAATGATTCATTATTTCATCTAGTAAATAGTCTCCTTTTATAGTAATAAATATTTTTTAAAAGTCATTTTGTTCTACAGTTATTTGGTTATGGTTTACTAAAATACTGTCCTGTTTTGGGGAATATAAATGTACTAGATGGTGTCACTTATGTGTGGAATCTAGAGAAACAAGACAAAGGGTCAGATAAAGCCTGACTCAAAAGTAGCCCTTGAAAGCAGACTATAGAATTCTAGTGAGACATCCAGAGGAGGGGAATGAGAAGGTGAGACAACCTAGGGAGGAAGCACAATGGACTCTGGGTACTTTGTTGGTGGAAGCTCTACGGTAACATGAGGGGGGGGTGTCGGGGGGTGGTCTTATACTTCCAAGTACAAACAACAGTGTGAACCAAGGTACCTCAATATAAAATAATTACTTTCTTTAAAAATTAAAAATAAATTTCTTCTCCATCTTACTTCACAATAAATGTGTATACTGTTCATTTTCACTGAAGACAGATGCAGGAACAAGAAATTCTAATGTCTGCTAATATTCAAATAGCATTCAGGTAAAAGTATATCATTGCAATTGTATGTTAATAATTTTGACTTTTGAGACAAGGAGAAAGAATTTCATGCTTCTTATCTTTAAATTCTTGTTGATGTCTCTTTCATCTAGATGGATCATTTTTACCAGAGTGTGATCACAATCCAGTTTGAGAATCTCTCAAAAGTTATGCAACTTCTTCCCAGAAAGATACATACAATCACACAGAAATGCAACAGATGACATATATCTCCTGAGGACTAATCAGGTTGAGAAACCCAATATTAAATGCTATGAATAAAAAAGTGCACATATTTCCAAAGACACAACCTATGAATTTCTAATTCTATTTGAAAATGAAGAGACCATCTTCCAAGTAATTAGACTTATGGATTAAAATATCATTTCCAATCCAAAATACTGAGAAATTTGTATTCTGCCACAAATATGTGGGTACAGTTGCCTTTGTGATGGAAAATGAATTAGGAGGCCAGGCTTCTGATAAATTTAGCATGAATTTATGTCAGTCTTAGGGCTTTCCTTAGCATGACCATATGTGAAAGGGATCCATGTGGGATGGGCCTGCATCGCTGCATGCAGCCTGGTGAGGGCCCCAGCAATTGTAACAGACACGCTCTGATCCTACATCTCTTTAAACGTAATGAGTCCCATCAGCCTTCTGTGCTTCTGGGGGCCAGACCAGCTTAGCGAGTCGATGCCATTCGTTAGTCTTTGGAACATTTCCAGAGCCGAACAGGTGACACCATAAACATACCCCGTTCTTGCCATTTGGAGCAAGCAAGTGGCTCGACAAGGTGGCTCCTTCTGGATGTAAATTGATTTGAATGATTTCTTTCTTTCTCCCGGGCAGGATTTATGCGGGCATCATTCATGTGACACCTTGGGAATGGCAGACGTGGGGACCATATGTTCTCCGGAGCGCAGCTGTGCTGTTATTGAAGATGATGGCCTGCACGCAGCTTTCACCGTGGCTCACGAAATTGGTATGCAGTGCCTTTCTTTTCCCTCGCCAAATCAAACACTTGTAACAGCTGCAACAGGAACCAACATACTTGGCAATTAATTCCAGATTTCTCCTGGTTCAGATGTTCCCTGGGGGATTAAATTTGTTTATATTTGCACTTTTAGGGTTAACTCATAAAGGAGAGGGAAGGCAAAGTCAGTCACACAGTAGATGTTTCCTGCCTGATGGTGGCCTTGAAACATTTAAGAGAAATCCGCTACTGCTACTGTCCCTTAAAGCGTCCATGAATTAGACGAAATTGGTCACAGTGGGCTCTGGAATGTGGAGATGTTCCTCTTCGATGTTCTTCAAAACAGTATTGACGCATCCAGGGCTAATCAGTTTTCACAGAAATTTGTCATGTTTTATTCGCTTGTGAGTGATCCCCGCCGCTTCCTGTCAGAGGTAATCGTGGTGCTTATGGTAAACATCCATGCCTTGCTTTAGAACATTCTTTTTTTTTTTTTAACAATTATTTTATTAAGGTAACATTGATCTAAATACTGCATAGGATTCAGAAATACAGGGTCCCGCCTTGTGAGATATCTGCTGTCACACCATACCCACCAACCTGCCAAGTTTCTAAAAACCAAGGCAATGAAACCCCAGCAAAGGCCAGCGGCTGTGTTTGCACACACCTCAGGCTCAATTTGCTTGTCGTCAGAAACACAGCTGTCTCCTCCAGCTAGAAATGTAGAGCGGAGTTAATTGTTGAAAACTACCCTAGCAATTGGGAATTTGTGTTTCCCAATCACTGATCTTGGCTACTAGGATGCTGAGAAGTTAGTTTGTACTCAGGTTTAGAGATTAGAATTAGATCATCTGGGCTCAGTTCTTACTAAAGAACTTTCGACCTGTCTTCCCCGAACTCTCTAAGATTGCTTTCATATCAGACACATAAGAAGAAGAACGGCTATTCGTGGAGTCAGCGTAGGGTCCAAATTCAACAGGTTATGGATACCAACCTCTTTCTGTTTTGCTTTTTAGCTATTCATTTATTTTACTATGTATATATCACCTTTAGCATAATCTTTTGGGGGTCAAAGTACGGTTTTATTATTATTTTACATTTTCCCTGTCCTTTATTTAACAGATTTAGGTTTTCAAAGAAAAAAACATATTTTTTACATAACAGTGAAAACTCCTTTTTCACCTTAGAAAGCAGAGAACCATTCCCAAGGTGTCCATTTCTAACTGCCATTTTCTCTGGGAAGTTCGAATAACTTCATAGATGTAATTGTATATCAGCGTATTGCAACAATAAAATAGAAATCAGTCATTAAATATTAAATCTTGAGTGTTAGTCATGACTTGAATTTTCTTAACTGACACTCTTCTTACATCTAAGCAAAATAACACAAACATTAATCCTTAATATAAATACCATCCAACAGCAGTCCAGTTGAATACCCCATGAACTAGGCATGTGTAGCCAACATCTGAGATAGGGTCGCAACTGTGTGTCTGTGTTCTCCGTTTTATCTTAGGAGAGTGACTTGCCCTCTCTGAGTCTCTATCTCTTCCCTATCAGGAGAACTAATAATGAGGCATGGATCTCTGGCATCTGTACTAGGAGAGTGGAAAGTGTTTTTAAAATACATAGGCCACTCCACGCAGACCTCTCCTGCCGCCCGCTGCTCCCCTCAGCAGTGTACTTTGGTCCTTCTGCCTGTTCTTTTCCCCGCTCTGGCTCTGGTGAATTCTCTCACCCTCCCGCGCTTCTGACTATATCCAGTGCTTGTATAAATAAATAAATAAATCTAAAAAAAAAAAATACATAGGCCACTTGAACTTCAGATCTCTTATTCCTGCCTATTAAACTATTAAACTAAGTGCGGCCAAAAGAGATCCTTATAAAATAGTCAATATTTATTACAAATCTGTGTGCACGAGTGTATACACGAGAGCTGCCCAAGGCAACTTTCTGATTTTGCAGTGGAAGCTAAGGGGAATTAGTCCAAATACTTGAGAGGATTGTAGTTAAGCAGGGGAGATTTAGAAAGTACATCAAAAACTAATCACCATTATTCAGATGGAGAGAAGTCTTAGGAAAGATTCTAAATCCCTGGGCAGCCTGAAGCTGGTTCATTTGAGGCTGAAAAATTAGTGAGGAATAAGCAACAGAGCTGAATGTCGGCATCATCCATTCAAAAGATTATAGACCCTAACTCCTAAAGGTGAGATTAAAAATTCCTTAAAAGAAGTACTATTTCTTCTTCACTTTAACCCCCCCCTTCCCCTCAACCTCCCCACCCCCATTTTTTTTAAGAAAGGAGGCAAAGGTGGCTTTCCAGAGGCGGTTCTGGGTTCTGGATTCAAATCCATCTGTGGTTTCCTAGTCTATGACTTTGGGCTTGTCATCCATCCTCTCTGATTCTGCCTGTTGAGTTTTCCAGTTTAAAAATAAGGTAACAGCTGGGCCTCCCCTGGTGGCACAGCAGTCAAGCGCTGGGTTGCGAGGCTGCCCGCAGCCTCTGCAGCACCAGTTCGATCCCCAGCCACCGGCGAGGGTCCCACAAAAAAAAAAAAAAAAAAATGAGGTAACAGCTATTGTGGTAGCCATTTGTGATGATGTGCTGCCCTGCTTCAATTCTTTTTACGGGACTTGAGGCCTGTTATACGGGCAGAAAGAGGCTATTCCAGAGCTTTCTTCTTTACAGTGGAAAGGGTCAGCACCCTTCCCCACCACTGCAAGCACACATATTCTGTGGAGAGTTGTATCTGGAGGGAAAGCCAGCCAAAAGGAGGGTTGAGGCAGTTAGTCAGGCGGACTTGAAGTAGAGCTTCCCTTAGAGACTCGTAGCCTGAATGGCCTTCACAGAGCTGCTTCCAGATGCAAGGGGAGAACGTGCACATAGGTGTGCTTTGGAGGTAGGTGCTTCATGCCTCACCACATTGCAGCCATTAGGCTGTCAACTAAACAGAAGTGAGTGGGCAGCACCTGGGACCTAACTCTTGGCACAGACCCAGAAAGTTCCCCCCGAATTCCTCTGGGGCACAAGAACTGCACAGATGTGGCCGGGAGCCAGAGGGGAAAGCAAGCTTGTGCATCCCTGGACCAGTTGTGGCGCCTTAGACTTCCTTCAGCGCTGAGGTGACCCTTTCTCACACAGCTGGCATCTGGGGGGTTTCCCAGTGAGAACCATTGTGGAAAGAAATGAAGCTTCTTTGGGGTTTCATTGCTTCTGAAGTCAACTTGGCTGAAATAAGGAACCTTCCAGCCTTACCTTTCCTGGTCCTCCAGAACTGCTAAACCAAGGGTTTGGGGTCACACAGGTACACTCAGCAGTGAGAAGGAAGAAGCCAGATACTGATAAGAATTTTTAAAACTAGATTGTACAGTAAGAGCCATTCTTAATAATAGAAGCATTAAGAGAAAAATGTAGGAGAAATGTAGGCATCTATGGGAAAAATCACACCTGAATCTTTGGTATATGACCATAGTCTGGGGTCCCCTTTAATTTCCTGGGCAAGTCATCACTATTTACTTCTTCAAAATTCTCTATAATTAGGTCTCATATCACTTACTGCCTACTTAATTTCCCTTTTTGTATTACATCTGGCTTAATCTGAGAAATTTAAGATCTGAGGATAGGGGAATATGGGTTTAATTCCCTTTTTATAAAGGGATCTGGATTTCATTTACTTTATTTCTAATTGCTTTATTATTCTTTAATTTCATTTTTTGTCTGAATGTTGTGAACATGTGTTATAAAGTATGAGCCATTAGAAATTTAGAGAAGATAATCTTACAAAATATTCCCATATCATCTGTATATGATTATGGAGTCTTTTGCCTCTGCAGCCCGTGTGATCTTGGGTAATGTAGTTCGCTGATCTCTTTCCAATTCTTTATTTTTAGATTATTGCATTAAGTCATCAGTTTGCTCTAACCATGCTTTGGATTCTAATTCCACTCCACTCTTATGTAATATTTTCCTTTCTCTTTTATTGTACATTTACTACTCTCAGATTTGGAGATTATCGCTACAGGCTTTCTATGATGATAAAAATCATGCTGTGAAACTTCAGGTTTACTGGAGTGTTTTCAATTTGCTTGAGCCCATTTCAAAATGTGCAGCTTGCTTCATGCTCAGTGTAAATTTGTCACTGTGCTCAAAACATAAGTATGGAGAAAATTTCCAGTTCATTCCCATAGTTTTTCTACTTTATTTATTCTCGAAGCTATAAAAGGATACCTTTGATTAAGAATAGCCTTCCAGTGGATGACTGAATGGAACGTCCCAACCTTATCTCTTTCTATACATTCTGATGAAAAATATAAAGTGTACTTTGAGTCAAAATTTCCCTTGTTCTTTTATCCCTTCCAGCTGAAAAAATGCCTACATTGAGAATTAACATGTAAAATACATGGAGGCAAACCTGAAGTTGCTATCTCATACCTTTTCTTTTTTTATTTTTTAGTAATTACTATATATTTTTTAAAGATTTTTTTTTTAATTTATGCATACAAGAGCTGGGCCAGAGGTACAGGGAGGTAAGAGGATTCACCAGAGACAGAGTGGGAAGAACAAGCAGTTCTACTGAAATACACTGCTAAGGAGAACAGTGGGCAAGCCAGTAGAGGTCTGCTGTGCCGTGTGGGTCAGCTCCCTGGCCAGGGATGGAACTCATGTTTCAGTGGCTGTGGATAGCTTTGTAATGCTGAGACTTAACCCCTTGAGCCACCAGGGAGGCCCACTCTCTCATACCTTTTCTATCCATGGCATAAAATTCCAAAGGAAGTGGGTTAAATGAATAATTCTGAAAAGGCACTCTTTTCATGTGCCAGATGTTAATTACAACACTTCTTTTTTCCTGCTAACTCCTTCCCATAAGATGGCTAGATTTTAGAGGTACATAGTCAACTGATGCCAAGACAGGTTTCTGGAAAATAGATTTTGATGAGCATAGACCCTGCATAGAGAGTAGTAAATTGCCTTCCTCCTTGCTATGTTATGTACGTGTAAACACTGACTA